GCTGCTGCTGCTGCGGCGCCGTTCCCGCAGCAGCAGCAGCAGCAGCAGCAGCAGGGGCTGCAGCCGGGGTTGCAGCAGCAACTGCTCCAGCAGCAAGCAGAACACGCGGCGAAGGCGTACCCCCACCCCGAAAGGACTCCAGGAGGTGCTGCTGCTGCTGCTGCTGCTGCTGATGCTGCTGATGCTGCTGCTGGTGCTGCTGCTGCTGCGTTTTAATAGCCTTTCTAATACCCCATTTTGCTGCTTCTTCCCTTTGCCCTTCGTCCCTATTTACTGGCCCTAGCTGCGCTCATTCGGTTTGTTCCTGTCCTCTGCTGCTGCTGCTGCCGCTTGTGCTGCTGCTGCTGCTGCCTCCCCTGCTGCTGCTGCTACTGCTGCTGCTGCAGAGCCTTTCGCGTACATCCAGTCCCCAGTTCTCTTCGACCCCACTTTGAATCTTTCTTATGTTGCCACAACTTCTTTTTCGCCAGTGCCGCAGTAATGGCATTAATTGGTTATTTTAATTATTTATTATTATTATTATTATTACTATTATTATTATTACTGTTTATTGTTGTTTACTGTTTGTTGTTTACTTTCCATTCACTTGTTTAGCTGCTGCTGCTGCTTCTGCTGCTGCTGCTGCTGCTGCTGCTGCTTGCTGAGGCCAAGCTGCGCGAGCTGCTGCGCTGCGGCGCTTTTGCTGCTGCTGCAGCACTCAAAGAAGCATCTTTTGAACTTAATTGTAAATTTGAACTAAATATTATCCACTTTTTCATTTAAAAATTCTAATTTTAATTCTTTGAAGGAGCATTTCCTTTCTTCGCAAAGGGGGCCCCACAGGCTCCATACAGACACCCCAAACTGATCCCACACGTGGGGGCCCCTGGGGGCCCCCAAGGGGCCCCCAAGGGGCCCCCAGGGGCCACGGCCCTCAGGGGGCCCTGGAAAGGGTCCTAAAAAGGCCCAAAGGGGGCCCCCAAGGGGCCCTAAAGAGGTCCTGGAGGGGCCCCCTAGGGGCCCCCAAGGGGCCCCGAAGATGCAGTTGGGGGGCCCCCAAAGGGTCGTTGAAAGGCGTTTAAGGGGCCCCTGGGGCCCCCCTAGGGGCCCCTTGAATTATCTTTTTATTTTCTTTTCCGAGGGCACTTCAGTTTACTAAGAAGGCATTTGAGAGGGAACGTCTTCAAAGGGTTTTGAGGCTAGGGTTTTGCGCCTTCAGGGTATGGGGATTAGGGTTTAGGGTTGGTTAGGGTTTAGGGTTTAGGGTTTATATCGGATAGGGTTTACTGGTTTCTTGGGTCTAGTGAGGTTTATAAGGGTTTATTAGGGTCTATAGTGAATAGGGTTCGTCAGCGTTTAGGATTTATTAGTGCCCCTAGGGGTTTATTAGGGTTTGTATTAGGGTTTAGGGTTTACGAGGGTTTAGGGTTTAGGGTTTGGAGCACCACAGAGTGGCCCGTACGCTTGGGACCCAAAAAGCAAAAGTTTGAAAAGTTTTAAACCCTAGAGATTTGATTTAAGTGAAAGTTGTTTTTGTTTGAACAATCTGCAGCAGCAAGAAGTCCATTAAAAGGCAAAGCCCACTTTTTTGGTCAGCAGCAACAGCAGCAGCAGCAGCAGCAGGAGCAGCACCAGCAGGAACGCCAGCAGCACCAGTAGCAGCACCAGTAGCAGCGGCAGCAGTAGCAGCAGCAGCAGCAGCGGCAGCAGCAGCAGCAGTAGGAGCAGCAGCAGCAGCAAAAGCCCGAAGCTGCCAACAAGCAAAACCTAAAAAGAAAAACAATTGCTGACTTCTACGGTGTATGTACACCCCAGCTCACGCCTTTCTGGGGCCCCACAGGGGCCCCCAAAGGGGCCCCCACCATCTGCAGCAGAAACTGGGGGGCCCCCTTGGGGGCCCCCTGGTGCAACAGCAGGGGTCTCTG